TCGCCTAGAAGGATAACAGAGGAAGACTAGGGACGAGTTTCCGTGAGGTGCACATTTAGCCCATTACTCATTAATGGCTCCTGCAACAGTCATGCGACGTTGCCGAACAAGACACGACCTTACTCCGATAATAACTGATTAAGAGCCGTAATTTGGCGTAAATTCTTTGGCGACACCATACTATGATAACTCGTACTGATCCAGCGTGGGATGAGCCACTCAGGTCTGGAATCTCGCCCATTTTCCGCCTCAGTCAATAAATGAATCCTTTTTTGACTTACCAGCAATCACTTAAGTTCAAATGCGATATTGCACTTGGCTGATTTATAATTCTCTTTTCTCAAAAAGACTATTTCTTTTCATATAAGAAGTATGAATGGCACCTCTAACAGAAGAACTTGCCAGGTGGGAGGAGAGGCACAATAAGTTTTACCCTTGTTTAAACGACAAAACATTAGCATTTACTAGTATCTAGATGCCGAACTTTATTTAGAAAACTTGCCATCAAAGCTACCTTCGTTTGATTTTCGTTCGGCCACCCTAACCTCGGACCTCATCAGTATAACTGTGGTGTACTGCAAATACCTTGCATTTGACGACTTGTTTTGGGTTTGCATAGAAGCGAACGTGGTTTGGCCATAAATAAAACTGAAGTGTAATGACGCATTCGTTTAAGATAGTTTTATAGAACAGAAAACAAGGACAGCACGAGCTTCAGTAGAAAACGAAAAGTACTACACTGTTTACAAGGATATAAAAAAGGAATCCACAGAAGCTTTACACTATTTTGCGAAACGAAACGAAACGAAACCAGGTGAGATAGAACAAATCTAAAGGAATAATTTAGATATATTTTCTAATAAGGTAAAGATAACTTTCACAAGAATTTTGGAGTAGTCGTTCGTTAACAAGAAGGATATTTATTCAATTCGCAAAGTAGTAATTTAAGAAGAGTTACTATTTTGCGAAATGGACTATTTTTGCCCTGCAGTGACAACGTGACCTCTTTCATGTCACAAAAATACATTTAGACATTACAAATTAGTATATCACCAAAGAATTTGGCCTCCTCTCATTTCTCAAACCGTGTTAAAATATATTTCGCAAAATAGTAATTTTATGAGGGTTACTATTTTGCGAAATGAACTATTTTCACCTTGCGGTGACGACGTGACCTCTTTCACGTCACAAAAATACATTTAGACATTACAAATTAGTATATCACCAAAAATTTTGGCCTCCTCTTATTTTCTAAACCGTATCTCGCAAAATAGTAAATGTAGGAGAGTTACTATTTTGCGAAATGGGCTATTTTTTCGGTGCGTTCCTTTGGGAGAATCCGGATCAGGATTTCTGATCTGTGGCGTTCCTTTCGAGCAAATCCATTTTCAGATCAGTGATCTATCAAATCCACTCTAGACAAGGATTCACCGGATCACTGATATGCGTGGTCTAAAGACAGATCATTGATCCAACGCGTGCGTTTGGGCGAAGGATCCGAAATTAGTCATTTTGCCCTGCGGTGCTCAATTTCAAACAAGTTGGTAATTCATATATTGACCGGAAAGATTGTTAGCAATCCCTCCACAAATTCTGCGATAAACGCGAAATAAAATCAATTTTGTAATGTTAAGTCGATCGGCCACTGATCGCAGTCATTCAGGGTTCCCAAGTATTCATATCTTAATTAATACTTGCTCCTATTTTAATTTCATCGTTTGAGTTTACCATGAAAAAATATGCTGCTAATGAATAGTGCTAATTAGTGCTGAGTGAAAATAATCCATTTCGCAAAATAATAATTTTTCTGACATTACTACTTTGCGAAATTAATTTTGTATGGATAGCTAAAGAGAAGGTGACCAAGATCTTCGAAAATATAATAATTTGCCTTCTTTAAATGTATTTTTGTGACATGAAAGAGGTCACTTTGTCATTGCAGGGTGAAAATAGTCCATTTCGCAAAATAGTAACTCTCCTAAAATTACTATTTTGCGAAATATGTTTTAATACGGTTCAAGAAATAAGAGGAGGCCAAAATTTTGGTGTTACAGCAATTTGTAATGTCTAAATGTATTTTTGTGACACGAAAGAGGTAACGTTGTCACCGCAGGGTGAAAATAGTCCATTTCGGAAAATAGTAACTCTTCTTAAATTACTACTTTGCGAAATGAATAAAAATCGTTCATGTTAATGAACGATTAATCCAAATTCTTGTGAAAGATATCTTTACCTTATTAGAAAATATATCTGAATTATTTCTTTAGTTTTGTTCTATCTCACCTAGTTTCGTTTCTTTTCGTTTCGCAAAATAGTATAAGCCAAAACAATGTGTGCTGGTGATCAGATGGAGCATTTCTGAGACGAAAATACATCGGAGTTGCAGACTTAAGGTTTCTTTTTTGACCAGTAACCGTGCGACTTAGAATCGTTTTAGGTTCCTTCTGTCACAAAATAATTCTGCAATTTATGATAAAGGAGTTTGCTGTTAAGCTCTGTATCATATAAGAGCCGTTTTTAGCACCTTTCACGCACCCAAAATCCCCACGCCCCACCCCAAGGGATTGAACTCTCATCTTAGAAGAGCAGTGTTACTCGTATACATTATCATGTTGCATAGGAGCGCAGAATCTGAGGGAGGAGTTATCCGGAGGAAGAAGGATTTATTAGAATGGAAGGGATGAAATTATTACCTCGTCTTGTAATATTTTCATTAAACCCTTACCGTGTATAACTTCTAAAATGCTGTTGTGTAATTAAAGTGAAGGAAGTTGTGCTCTAACAACAGAATATTTTAAAGACCTGTCCTTCCGATAAGCAACAATTGGTGGATTAGGATACATTTGCACCAGGTTATTGTTGTCTGAAATAAGGTGCCAGTGTTTCATAAGAATCTTTTTGACATTCTGGTTAGCAGGGTTGAAAGTCCTAACGAACGGAAAAATCTTTTTAGATGATTTCGGTTTGTTTCTCATAGCCGTGTTGCGTGATGAGAACTGGGCATCGGCAAAGACCTTTTGGACGAGGTCCTGAGGGTAGCTTCGTTCTATAAGGCGAGATAAAAATTCTTTCTTCCTTAGCTCAAAAGATTCTTTAACCGAGTTTGTTCTCATTAAGCGTAGTGCCTCTCATTTTACAAAACCCTTCTTGACCGTTTAGCCCCTAAGAGTGACCAGCATCTAATTTCTCATTATAATATTACCCTTTAGTCACGCACTAAGGTCATGAGAATTATGGAAATGATCAACAACCACAGAAGCTCTGGATCATTAAGCTAATTCTCCTTTGTCAGCACCTTAGGAAATGTATAGAGAACAGTGTGGAGAATATGCATACTGATGTTAGAGTGTAAAGGGTTAACACTGAGAAGGTGGCGTGAAGATAACTGTGTGTATCTTGGAACGTTTCTGTCGGCTTGTAATATGTTTAAACATCAACGATTTTGCTATCGGTAAATCTCGGTCCTTAAAACACTTCAGTATCGAGAAAAACAATTTTTTTTGATGACTGTTCATTAGTGAATCTAAAGGTGGCGCGGAATGAGTTAGCAAAATCAACGAAGTTGTTGATTTCGGTTTCGGGAATGGTCCGCGCATAAAAGATGTCGTCAATGTGTCTTTTCCAAAGAAATGGTTTCTGTGGGCTTGTAGCTAGTTTGTACCTTTTTCTCAATAAGAGCCATGAATATGACTGCAAAAGCTACAGTCATTTTTTTCCCCAAAGCTATTGCGAGTGTTTGAAAATAGTTTTTGTGGTTGAATTTGAAAGAGTTTTCGTTATGAATCAGTCTTATAAGGTGTCTCAAAACTGCTGTTGGGATCGAAGGTTTGACTGATAATACTCTTCGTACAGTTTTGACAGACGACTTTAATTCCCTCTTCCTTCCTTTAAACCCTCCATACAAGAACAAAAAAGAATTTCTTTGTTTTTGCGCGCCGTGTCTCCATGTAGGCAATTGTGTTCCGCAGGTTGTTGAAACTCGCTTCCGTCTTAAGACGCTTAGGGGTTGGTTTTTACAAAGGCATGTCGTGGTCGTTTGGTAACTCTTAGTACTTTTTGGAAGCTAGTTTTGACGAAAGCAAGTCGTCGTTTAATTCTGCACTGGCTCGTTTAGTGCGTGCCTTCACAATGGAACGTTTGGAGGCTGACTGTTTTTCTGGGGAGATGTAATTGGCGAGATCAGTAGCGTTTGGCTGTCTCTTATTTTAGCGAGTATAGCACTGACTTTTCTGTCTCCAATAGTGGCCATGAGGTTCTCAGAAGAACTGTTATTGCAAACTTACTCAGTATTAAGTTCACCGTTTTTGTAAAACGCCAAACATACCACCTCAATTAAAAAAAAAACATAAATTTTTCCGTTTAATCTGTTCCCATCACCATTTTGCGTCTTTGTCGAGCGGCACTAACAGAGCTGACTCGAGATATTAATTTGTGAAACCAGAGATTAAATGTCCAATCTGTGAACTAATCTGAGCTTGGATACACCACGGCAACTTACTCCAAAAAGGTTAAAACCGGTGGTGCATGCTACATAAGCTGGGTTCTCAAGTGGGAAATTTAACCTCCTACTTTATCTCTCGATCCAGCTTTCTACATGTAATTCGTCTGGAACTTAACATAACAGAGCTGAACAACTTAAACGAGGATGAAAAAGTTTTGCAGTGATCGGTACAGTGTAACAGCGGACAGTTAAAACGAAAAATTGTTGCTTAATGAAAAAAAAAACAAAACAAGAAAACCATCTCTTTTTTGGCAGTACTTAGAAGGGTGTGATTTCACCAAAAATCAAATCAGAATAAGGTGAACGGGAAGACATTTTCCTCTTTTTTCTTACCTCGAGAAACTTTAACTAAATGTTCTTGTCCGAAAGCTTCCTTAGATGCCCAGTAGCCTCTCGGAAGATTACCCTCCCACCCTCCCCCGACCCCAAGTCTTACTTGTCACCACTCGAGTGGTCTTCACCCACAAACCAAGTACAGTAAACAATGTCGCTAGTAAAAAAAACCTTTTATTACAAAATATTTGCGGTTCTATTTACATTAAGCGTTATTTTTCACTCTGGTGATTAAAAATACTTCGTCTACCTGGTAAGTCTCTTTGACCCAAAATTAAGATTTGACTTGCAACTATTTATTTTGTTTAAATACAAAAATCAACTAAAAATTGATGAAACTATATAAGATTTAGAATACCCTCAAAAGACAGGTTTAAAGCTGGTCGGTGTCTCTGAGTTATAGCTTTAAGAATTTCGCGATATTCAGAACTAAGAGACGAAGTCAGATTTAGTGTGGTTAGCTTACAGCTTGGATGCTGTAAAGCTTCACATAGACTGGCAAAACTGGTATCAGTGATAGAACTACACCCCAGATTTAGTGTGGTTAGCTTGCCGCTTGGATGCTGTAAAGCTTCACATAGACTGGCAAAACTGGTATCAGTGATAGAACTACACCCCAGATTTAGTGTGGTTAGCTTGCAGCTTGGATGCTGTAAAGCTTCACATAGACTGGCGACACCGGTATCAGCAATGTTATATTCCTGTAGAATTAGTGTGGTTAGCTTACAGTTTGGATGCTCTAAAGCTTCACATAGACTGGCAACACTGGTATCAGTGATAGAAATACCCTGCAGATTTAGTGTGGTTAGCTTACAGCTTGGATGCTGTAAAGCTTCACATAGACTGGCCACACCGGTATCAGTGATCTTAGTGATCACTAGACTTAATTTGGTTAACTTCCTTACTACTAATCTATTAATAACATCAACACATTCATCAGTAGAGTAAATCTCGAATAATTCCAGTTCAGACACAAGACAGTGTTCATTGTTTAGTGAATTACAGACTCGTTGTATTCCAGACAGTGTTAGCTGTGATTCTCTAAGTTGTAACTTCTGAACTGTGACGAACTTATCAGAACATTTGTGTTGTGCCCCTCCAGCTTCCTCTTTATTTAGTTCACTCATAATGTCCAACACAAATGATACTCCAATGCAGTCCATATCTGATAAACCCATAAAAGCCATGACGCCATCTGAATTACAAAACGCTTGCGGATTATTCCTGATGAATTTTTTGGCAAATTCTTTGTTTTGATACTCAGTCAGACACGTCATTTTAAGATTACGATGCATAAAGGGCGAATTTAATAGTTTTTTCATCAGTTCTTCGTTTCCCTCACTTGATAACACGCCAGCAAAAAATTGGAAAACCATTTCAGAGCATTCTTCGTCTGGAACGCGATTTTCCTTAACGAACCAACGAGCAGCTAAGAATTCTTGGACGGTTAGATGTGTGAAGCTAAAGTGCTTCGTGGTTGTAATCAGTGCAGTCCTGAAAGGCTGACCACAGTAAAGAAGACCGCTACCTTTCAGTTTGCTGACTTCTTCCGCTTCAAAATCGCCTTCCATCTCCCTTTCATCAAAAGTTGGCTTTCTTTCAACCAACAGTTTAGCCGCTAGCTTTGATAATTTATCTAAAGTGTTCTTGATGACAGGAGGGGCCTTGAATTGCTCAGGAATTTCTTTCTGTCTGTATTCTGACTCGGCGTAGTGCTTAAGTTCAAATATTTCAATAAGTTTGGTGTAAACGTCGGTTGTTGAGACAGGAAGGTCATCAGGATTTTCTGATTCGGTTAGGGTATACTCCATCTCAAAGCACAACAGATAACAGAGCATAGGAATATGAGCAAAACTGACAAGGTTCTCATTGTTCATGACATGTTTAAGTACAACGTTCTTCATATTTTCGTTTTTCTTGAAGTATTTCTCAATGTATCTTTTGACTTGTTTTGACGAAAATCCTGCAATTTCCACGTAACGTTTAAAACAGATTCCTCCCAACTTGTCCGATTCATCAGGACGCGAGGTAATCATGACGATAGCCCCTTTCAAGATTTTTCCTTTGATGAGTTTTGAACACAATGCGGCCACCGGCATTTTACGTTTAGCGTTATTGGGATGCTGTTCTTCCGAGTTTCCAGCGATGTTGGTTTTCTGAGAATACTCATCATAGCCGTCGAGAATTATCATTACTTCCCTGGGATGATTTACAATGTACTCAAATGTTGAGTCATCAATGTTACATGTGTCATCCAGTACCGAAGAACAATTTAAGATTTCTCTTAATGTCACATAGTTATTTTCAAGCAAATTCAATTGACGGAAAGTGAGCAAATACACAAACTTTAAATTGGGAAATTCACTGCTTTCTAGTGCTTGAAGTAATTTGTTGTTCGCCCAATCGCGAATCACCTTTTGGCAAAACAGGGATTTCCCAATCCCTGCTTTTCCAACGACAAGAATAGAATTAGCACTTTCCTGATCATCAATCACGCCAAGAAATATTTCACTAGAGTGCTTGACTGGGGTACCGCTAACTTTTCCGTAGTACTCAAGCACTTTTCTCCTTGAATAACATGTCTCGTCATTCTTGATCAGGGCTTTTCTTCCATGTTGCATGAGAAGATTAATGAATATTTCGTCTGTTTTCGCGTTGGTAATCGTGCGAGAGGCAAGCAGTTTGGGTTGGAACTCCGTTTGGCCTATGATGGAAGTCTTTAAAGCTGAAGTGTAGGCACTTACGGCTAAAATAAAAAAAGAAACATATTTAATAAATAACATGACCGCGAGGATAGCAGTTTATTGGTACTTTCACTAATAATCCACAGGGTTTAACTGTTTTGAGGGCAGGTCAATCGACACACAAGCGTTGAAGAAAAAGATCTTAGGCTACATTGGTCTTACTCTTATTGATGAAAAAAGTATAACAAACTAAAGGCACATTAGTACCACACATATTTCTAAGAAGCTTAGTCTTGCATGTAAATTTCAAAGCCTAGTGTCTGACAGAGAATCAATTCCAGGATTGGATATCAGAGCCCCAACTCACGGACCCTATAATGGTTAAAAATCGGCGGTGGTTTGGGGAGGAAGGCCCCCCTCCGAGAGATCCTGGCCCCACCCCCATCAGATCCACTTGTCTGACACACAAATTCTCGAAACAACAGGATCACATAATACTATCCTAAAATAACCAATGGTAAAACTTAGGGTAGTCCTGTCAGAAGCCTAAAAGTAGACTATCCTGCTATCAGTAAGATCCCTGAATTGAAATATCTTCTGATTACAATATATCAAAAGTATCTATGAAAATGTTTAAAATATACAAAAAAATT